GAAGGATGATGCGTTGGATCCGGAGGTTGGTGGGGTGGTACGTGAGGGACCACTCTCTCCATGACTCCCTTGTCCGCTCCACACTCCCCTCCAGCTCCACCACACCCGGCACTTTTCCCTGCAACCGCAGGAAGTGCTACACCTGCCCCCATACCTCCTCCCTCACCCCCATCCCAGGCCCCAAGAAGACTCTCCACATCAAGCAGATGTTCACCTGCACATCTGCCAATGTGGTATACTGCATCCGCTGTACCCGTTGTGGCCTCCTCTACATCGGGGAAACCAAGCGGAGGCTCGGGGACCGCTTTGCAGAACACCTTCGCTCGGTTCGCAATAAACAACTGCACCTCCCAGTCGCGAACCATTTCAACTCCCCCTCCCATTCCTCAGACAACATGTCCATCCTGGCCTCCTGCAGTGCCACAACGATGCCACCCAAAAGTTGCAGGAACAGCAACTCATATTCCACTTGGGAACCCTGCAGCCCAATGATATCAATGTGGATTTCACAAGCTTCAAAATCTCCCCTCCCCCTACCGCATCCCAAAACCAGTCCAGTTCGTCCCTGCCTCCCTAACCTGTTCTTCCTCCCACCTATCCCCTCCTCCCACCTCAAGCCGCACCCCCATCTCCTACCTACTAACCTCATCCCGCCCCCTTGACCTGTCCGTCCTCCCTGGACTGACCTATCCCCTCCATAACTCCTCACCTACACTAACCTTTACTGGCTCCATTCCCGCCTCTTCGACCTGTTTGTTTCCTCTCCACCTATCCTCTCCTCTATCCATCTTCTATCTGCCTCCCACTCTCTCCCTATTTATTTCAGAACCCCCTTCCCCTCCCCCATTTCTGAAGAAGGGTCTTGGCCCGAAACGTCAGCCTTTCTGCTCCTATGATGCTGCTTGGCCTGCTGTGTTCATCCAGCTCTGCACCTTGTTGTCTCAACTGATTATATATATAGCTCGAGAGGTTCTGTGCCACAAGCATATGGCAAAGTGAGGAGGCTAACGAATTAACCCTCACCGTCAGCATCATTCTACATCACACCTCAGCCATCTGGCTTAGCTCACTGAGCTGACTAACCCCCCCACGTTAATAGTTAAACATCAGTGATTTGTAAACAATATCACAGATGTGCATCACTGGGCACTGTGCTGTATCAAACAAACAATCTCTTTGCTAAGACATTTACGGGAGAGTTGTTGTGATGCAGCAGTAGTGCCCCTAGCTCTGGGCCAGGATTCAGGGTTCAAGTCTCACCAGTGCAAGCTATACGTCATAACATGTCTGAACATGTTTAATTTAAGAGAAGATTCTAGAAAAATATATAATTTAGCACTACCCTACAGGACTGCAAGCCATAGGGGTCTTTCGTGGTAATGAGATCAACACACTAGAAAAAGTGGAAAACAATGGTGAACATATAAAAGGTGCACAGGCCTGTGTCACAGTTTACACTGCGTGTGTTCCTGTTGAGCCTGCAGCATGCAATTAAATTTATAGCTACATTTTCCTAGTAAGGCTATTGGATTATAATGCTGCTACACAGTAAATACACACAACTATAAATACAAAATGCTCAGGTCACACTTCAACGACTGACTTAAACAAGGTTAAAATTCATTATAATTACTTGAGTGTTAAGAATTACAACTTTGTACAGCAATTCTTATTAGTGAGAACAATGAAGCTCAATTAAAACGTTCAAAATTTCAACCACATTTTTAAAAAATTCACCCAAGTATCAATTTTTCAGGAATTTTCTCACCTCATTACAAGATGCTGCACGTGAGTGGATTTCATTACAGTTGCAAAGTTCACAGCCTGCTCCACTTGCTAGTTTCCAAGTATTAGGTGCACACTGATCACACATAAGACCAACCACATTGGGAAGACATGGGCACTGACCAGCGGTTTGGTTGCAGTGGCATTCATCTGCCGAAGTGCATTGTTCCTTTACAGTACCCAAGTAATTGCAGACACATTCTAAAAAAAAATAGCAGTCATAGATATAGTTACTTTCCATGAAATAACTTGTACGCGTATGCTACTCTGAAATGCAAAACTGCTCTTCAGAATTATAGATAGTCAAACAACTAAAAGACATACACTGGCAAAGGTTTTACAGTCAACAGTATTCACTGCTGATCTCAAAGAAAGCTGCCACAAGTTCTAGCAATCTGTGGCATGGATTTCACAACTCCCAACATCAGTTTGAATCTAGCATCAAGCTGAGCACTCACCAGGAATCCAGCAACAACTATGTCAACATTGAGGCTAAGCAGTCCATTCCAGTGAATTATTCGGAGTGTATTCACTTCTGGTCTTGCTGCCTGAATTCCCACCTCCCCCAACCACTTTTCAAATCATTGGCAGATATGCATGGGATTAAGATAGAAAATCAAATTTATATAAATGTAATGAGTTTAAAATCGTGAATTTGATCACTAATGAAAAATCTGATATTTCATAAATAAAAAATAATATAATTTAAGGTTAGTGATCCTGTTAACAGTAATTATGAATGAGTACACAATAATCAGAAACCCTGTTACACCTTATTCAATAATGTGTAATTCCAAGGCTTTTGACAACGTGGTTAAATGATGTAATTGAACTGTTGGAAACTTATCCAGTTATTGATAGCAGTCTGGGTGGACTTCAACGCTGCAGCTATGGGACAGAACAGTCAGCAACATCTGGACTTCCAGGTTAAATTGTGTGAATTCCAGAAGCTGGTGTTAGTTTCAGAGAAATAATGAGAGTGAATGTTAACAGTTCCACTATCATTACCACTAGAAAAACTGAGCTAACTATGTTGATTATTTGATTTAATAAAAAAAATCTTTAAAAACATACAACGTTATGAAGAACATTAATTTATCCACATAAGAGCATTCCTGCCTTTAAAACAAACCTTGCAAATCAATGTCAGCCTTAAGTACAATGCAGTGAAGGATGGTAGCACCCTTCCTTTAGGATAGGACGTGGGGACATAGCTCATGTAAATGTTAAATTAAAACTGCTTCTCCTAACCAACAATCCTCCCTAAACTAAGACCAAAAGCAAATTAGCTGGCCATTCAACAATATTAAGTGAAAACTGACACTCATGATAACTTAATTAAAGTTGCCTTTACTTAACAGTAATTCATTTGATGTGAAATTTCTTGTTATCTTTATAACAAACTAATGTTGATCAATAAGAAAGCTCTATGGTTGTTTGGAGCCAAATCAAGAACTATTCTGCAAATGAAAGTCTTTGTTAATACCTGCACTATTTTTAAATATTTGCTTCTACTTTATTAAATCTAAAACAGTTTTGACAAATCATTGTTGGTATTTCATATTAAGCTGACAAAAAAAAAACCTTACAAACGCTTCTTGTAACCTAACCTCACTTTGTCTTTATAACCTCCAGCAGGATAACTTTAGGTAACACGTAGAAAACCTATGTCTTCTTTAGTCACACCGCTTATCAGCGATACCGTGCTGCATCCTGGATTATTTGTTATATCTCATCTCAAAATAAGAAAATGAAATATCAAACCCACCTACGTCCGTGACACCATCCACGCCCTCAACCTCCTCCAAAATTTCCGATTCCCTGGGCCCCAACACCTCATCTTTACCGTGGACGCCCAGTCCCTATACACTTGCATTCCCCATGCAGACGGTCTAAAGGCCCTCCACTTCTTCCTGTCCTGCAGGCCCGACCAGTCCCCACCAGCCCCCCTCCACTGACACCCTCATCTGCTTAGCTGAACTCGTCCTCACCCTTAACAACTTCTCCTGCAATTCCTCCCACTTCCTACCAACAAGGGGGGTGGCCATGGGTACCCGCATGGGCCCAAGCTACGCCTGCCTCTTTGTAGGATACGTGGAACAATCCCTTTTCCGTACCTACACTGGCCCTAAACCCCACCTCTTCCTCCGTTACATCGATGACTATATCGGCGCCGCCTCGTGCTCCCATGAGGAGCTCAAACAGTTCATCCACTTCACCAACATTTTCCACCCCAACCTTAAGTTCATCTGGACCATCTCTGATACCTTTCTCTCCTTCCTGGACCTCTCTGTCTCCATATCGGGCAACCACCTGGAAACCGATATCCACTTCAAGCCTACCGACTCCCACAGCTACCTAGAATACACTCCTCCCACCCACCTTCCTGCAAAAATGCCACCCCCTATTCCCAATTCCTTCGCCTCTGCCGCATCTGCTCCCGGGATGAGGCATTCCACTCCCGGACATCCCAGATGTCCTTGTTTTTCAAGGACTGCAACATCCCCCCCCCAGCAGTGGTCGAAAACACCCTTGACCGCGTCTCCCGCGTTTCCCGCAACTCATCCCTCACACACCCTCCCCGCAATAACAACCAAAACAGGATCCCCCTCGTCCTCACGCACCACCCCACCAACCTCCGAATCCAACGCATCATCCTCCGGCACTTCCGCCATCTGCAATCTGACCCCACTACCAAAGACATTTTTCCCTCCCCACCCTTATCTGCTTTCCAGAGAGACCACTCTCTCCGTGACTCCCTTGTCCGCTCCACACTCCCCACCAGCCCCACCACCCCCGGCACTTTTCCCTGCAACCGCAGGAAGTGCTACACCTGCCCCTACACCTCCCCCCTCATCCCCATCCCAGGCCCCAAGAAGACCTTCCACAAACAGATGTTCACCTGCACACCTGCTAATGGGGTATACTGTATCTGCTGTTCCCGATGTGGCCTCCTCTACATCGGGGAAACCAAGCGGAGGCTCGGGGACTGTTTTGTGGAACACCTATGCTCTGTTCGCAACAAACAACTGCACCTCCCAGTCGCGAACCATTTCAACTCCCCCTCCCACTCCTCAGATGACATGTCCACCCTGGATCTCCTGCAGTGCCACAACGATGCCACCTGAAGGTTGCAGGAACAGCACCTCATTCCGCTTGGGAACCCTGCAGCCCAATGGTATCAACGTGGACTTCACAAGCTTCAAAATCTCCCCTCCACCGACCACATCCAAAAACCAGCCCAGCTTGTCCCTGCCTCCCTAACGTGTCCTTCCTCCCACCTATCCCCTCCTCCCACCTGAAGCCCCACCCCCATCCCGCTCCCTTGACCTATCCCCGCTATCTCACCTTTACTGGCTCCACCCCCGCCTTTGACCTGTCTGTCTCCTCTCCACCTATCTTCTCCTTTATCTATCTTCTATCCGCCTCCCCCTATTTATTTCAGAATGCCCTTCCCCTCCCCCATTTCTGAAGGAGGGTCTAGACCAGAAACGTCAGCTTTCCTGCTCGGCCTGCTGTGTTCATCCAGCTCTACACCTTGTTATCTCAGATTCTCCAGCATCTGCAGTTCCCACTATCTCTATCAAATCAGGAAGACCATTTTAGTCAACGTTCCAGCATTACCTAGAAATAATCACTGTTGCTAGGTTGATTGTTGTATACTTCGCTTCTGTACATTCCTACCTTCCTGTGTACTGCAGCATCCAACTGTTAGTAAATAACTTCAGAATTTCCTCGGTATTACTCTAAAAAGGTATTGATGACTTGCCTTTAAAGACATCTTTAAGACTGACTTCTTCATTACACCCAATTGGAACCTGTGTTAACTATTAGTCAGTGTTTGTATTCCCTCTTCCCAGTGTATGCAATAGCCTGGGATATTCTGGTATATTAAGAAATTTATTAAATACAAGTTGATGACATTTTAAGGCAAATACTCAAGTTATTCCAAAACACATTCTTCTGTACTGGCATTAGAATGTGGACCAATTTAAGAATCTTGTAACATGGAATCTGCACTGACTTCAATTTATACACAACTGCTTGAAAGAAAATTACAAAAGAAAACCAGCAGGAAAAATGCTTTCTACCAGATTGAGATCAGAACTGTAACTGTAACACAAGTTATTCAGCTCTTGATATGTAACAAAGCCACCAGAAAACATGATAGCTAAGAATGGGCAGCATGTGGGGGGGAAAAAAAATCAGATTCCTGCTTAAGAATTATTCCTCCAGCTGATCTTCAATTAAATCTTTCCTGAGGAAACAATGAACAAATCCCCCCATGCATTTTGAGCTTGCATTTCACTAAGTTAAGTTGTCACAGAGGAGAATTAATTAATGGGTGTTGACTGCTGCATAAGCTTCAACAAGAAAATCACTGAAGCAAACCTGAAGCGATCAAGAATCCTTTGTTAATTACTTTACCATTCGTTCCAATGTGAAGATCATAAGTGTTTATGTAAACAAAGCTTTTATTTCCCCCAGGCTTGTGAATCCACAGGGAACAAAACATGTTGATCTGGTGACAAAGAACAATGACTATTTGCAACTTTGACCTCTGGGTTGGGGGATGGAGATGGGGATGTGAGATGGGAGAGGAGATTGGTTGAGACTTGTAGAGGTTACCTGCTGTCTTCACGTTCATTGGGAAATCAATTTGTCTAGGATAATCAAGGTATCACGAGGGACATCAAGAAAGAAAAACAGTAGGTGAATTAAAAATGTAAAAGTCACAGAAATTTACAGACACCAATACTTGATCCTGTCTCTCTCATCACATTTCTAGATCATGCATCTTTAAACTAACAAAGATATGCTTCATTCTTGATCATGTATGTTTTTAAAAGTAAACTGTAAAAGTCAAATTGCCCCAGTTGATGATCAGGACAGGAAGAGAGATTACTTCATTAATAATTTGCTTATTTGAGAAGATTGTCTCCAATGATAAGTAAGCTTAATAATCTTGTAAAATAACGTCACGATACTGCAAACACTAAAACGGGGTAGGGGTCTTGCTTTGCACTTTAAGTGTCAATTGTAAAGTACACGAACATCACTGACAATACTGGGTGTTGTGACCATCATTTAGTATTTAGCCATAAGCAGGTGGAACTCAGTTTGTTACTACAGCAGTGTTATTTTCAGATTGCTGGATTTTATATGGATGACCAACTATTCATTTTGGCCAAGGCTTTACCAAAGGACAAAACACGATCTGGTCCAAATATCTGAAACATGCAAATCTTGCACACATACTGCTGCCCAGTGTTACTAAACCTTCACCATGGTATAAACAAAGAAAATTTAGCACCAATGCAACTGACATTCTTGACCAATCCATTTCACAAACAAATGACAAAAAAACATGAGGTCAAAAAGGACTGGTATGAAATGAACATACACCACAGAAAGATCAGAACGTAATGAAATTCTTTAGAAAGTACATAATTCGGCCAAGAAATGAAAAAGCAAAATGTGCATTTCATGATTCTTAAATTCATGTGTCGTTTAAAACATGAAGTACTTCTTACTTTTACAATTCTGTTGCAGCGCATTGCCATAATAACCAAGCTTGCAGAGATCACAATGTTCACCCTCCGTGTGATACAGACATTTCAGGCATTCTCCAGTTTGCTTGTCACATGATTCTGCATCAGTCATGTCAATGTTGTTGCTGCATTGGCACTTCTGACAATGCCCTCTTGTTTCATTAGGATTACCATAAAATCCAGAAGCACATTCATCACACCTGGCACCTGGCAGAAATGAAACAGTACAACAATTTTAAACAGCAGAAAATACTTTGGCACGATGACATTTAATGTAGTTACATTAAAATTACAGCATGGAAATAAACTAGTTGATTTTACCATTAATTTTTAAAAATTTATTCACAGGGTGTGCACGTCACTGGTTAGGCCAGCAATTATTGCCTGTGAGATGGTGGTGAGCTGTCCTTTTGAATCATTGCAGCCCATGTGACCTAGGTACATCTACTGTGTTGTTAGGCAGGGAATCCCAGTATTTTGACCGTGACAATTGAGGAGCAGTGATATAGTCCAAGTGGGGAATGTGTGGGGCTTGCAGGCAAATATGCAGATGGTAGCATGCTCATGTCCTGCAGGGCAGTAGAGATCAAGTGTTTGGAAGGTGCTGTTAAAGGTGCCTTGGTGAGTTATTGCAATGCATCTTATAGATGGCACACACTGCAGTATCGTATACAGGTGGTGGAGGGAATGAACATTGAAGTGCCAATCAAGCAGGCTGCTTTGTCCTGAATGGCACTAGTGTGGCACAATTGTTACCCACCACCAAGGCCCTACTGCACTTGGACTCAAAGTGCTTCGGTCTCAGAGGACTCATGAATGTGTAATATTCAGCAGCAGTGGTGAATATTAGCATGTTCTAACCACATGGTGGAAGGAAAGTCATTAAGCAGCTGCAGATGGTCTAACCTAGGACATGACCCTAAGGAATTCCTGCAGAGAGGTCCTGTGGCTGAACTGATTAGCCCCCAGCAACCACAACCTATCTGACTTTAAACTAGGTATGACTCCAACCAGAAGAGATTATTATATCACCCGCCCCTCCACCACCCCCAACCCTGGCAATCCCCCACACGTCTGATTCCTAATAACTCCAGTTTTTCTTTGGGTTCCTTCATGCCACACTTGGTTGAATGCTGCCTTGATGTCAAGGGCAGTCATCCTTCCTTCCCTTTAGAAGTTCAACTCTTTTGTCAGTGTTTGGAACCGAAGCTGTAATGTGCTCAGGAACAGAGCCTTGGTGGAACCCAAACTGGGTGGCGAGCAGGTTAATCATTAGCAAGTATAGCTCGACAGCACGACTGACAACATATTCCATCACTTTTGAAGTGATTGGGGGTGAATGGATACAGCAATAATTGGCCGGGTTGGATTTGTCTTGCTTTTTGTGCACAGGACATACCTAGGCAAATTTCTACATTAAAAACTTAAAGAAGTGCGGATGCTGTAAACCAAAAATAAAAACAGAAGTTGCTGGAAAAGCTCAATGGGTCTGGCAGCATTTATGAAGAGAAATCAGAGTTAATGCTACAGGTCCAGTTACCCGTTCTTAGGAAGGGTCACCAGACTCAAACCGTTAACTCTTATTTCTCTTCACAAGTTTCTACGTTGTCAGGTGGATGCTAGTATTCTAACTGTACTGGAACCACTTGGCTATGGCCTTCAGTATTATTGCTGGGAAGCTGTCAAGGCTAATAGCTTTGCTGTATTCAGTGCCTCCAGTCATTTTTTGATATGCCAAGAAATTAATCAAATTGGCTGAAATCTGGCACATGCAATGCGAGAGACCTCTCACTTGGTACATGTGGCTGATGATTGTTGCAAATGCATCGGCCTTATCTTTTATATTGATTATTGAAGATGGGCATATTTGTGGAGTCTCCTTTTTGTGGCTTAATTGCTACCATTCAGGACTGCACAGCTTGGGTCTAATATGTTGGTTGGTAGAAGTTGAAATGGCTTCTGCTTCAAGAATATAACTGACAGTACATTCCACAGTATATCATGCTTTTGTACAGAGGGGGAAAAAAAAATACTTTCTGCTGTAGATATTAAGCTACTTGCAATTTGGGTACATTTAGTATACATTTACACCATCTTTACATACCTGTGTAACCATCGTGACAGAGGCAGACAATATTTTGTGAACTATGATCCTGGTAACAGCCAGTGGCAAACTGCCGTCCACTATCTGGACCATCTGGGCAAGGACATGGGCGACAGTGATCACCCGACCCAAGTATGGGGTTCCCGTAATAACCTGACATACAGCTACAAGAGAAACAAGGAAGCTTTATCAACAGCTGTTTGCTTATGTTAGAAAAAGTAATTTTACTTGGAGATAATGAACACTAGCGAAAGCAAGAGAGAGACAATACCTGTCACAATTATGTCCACCAGTATGATCTCTGCAGCCCAAACATTCGCCACTTTCTAAGTCGCAGTGATCCGCATGTCCATTACACTGGCACGGACGACAACTGGGAAATCCCCAGTAACCAGGCTGACACTGATCACACTGCCGACCGTAGACTCCTTCTTTACACTGACATTGACCAGTACCAGGATGGCAAAATCCATTGACTGAACCTTCCAGATGACAGTCACAAGCTACAGTAAATTTTAAAACATATGCATTCAGAAATGGTATATAAAACTGCCATTTTAGTGAGGGAATTGGGATTAAACATTTGCATACACCATTGCAACAATCTTGGTCAATACAGCAAATGCACATTTATTAAAAATCATACTCAATGCTAGAAGTATCTTTGGGAGGCCTAGTTAAGGATGGAGTTAAATGGTCTAGGTTCAATCTCTTGACTGTTAAGTTAGACGTTCATAGCTAGAGGTATTAGTACTTAAATGGAAATCAGTGGAGAAAAACCAACACCTTATATAGAATAGCAGAAAGTGTTTCAGAGGCACAAACTGAGCAAAAAAAAAGTCAATGCTAAGCCAAATAAACAAATAGTACTCATGACCAAAAATTAGGTTGTAAAGGTATGTTATATAAAAGGCTACCAAGAGAAGAACTGAAAGGGATTTAGGAAAGAATTTCAGAGTGTGCAGCATAGGTCACTCATGCAAGATCAAGAGGGGCAAGAAATTCACAGAAGCCAGGGGAGAAGAGTGCAAAGTTTTGGAATAATTTGAAGGACTGGTGGAAGTTCAAAATGGATAAGCATTTTAGTGAAGAATTGGAAGCACTGCCTGACTGGGAACCGATGCAAGTTAACAAGGATCGCAGTGACTGTTGAATGATGCTGGTTCAATGGATTTATCAAAAGGACAATAAAGTAATTGAGTACAAATTAAAAGTCCAACAATATTATTCCGATCACTTTTCCTATTTTCACAACATGTGTGCGCTTTATGCAGGAATCTTGAAAACAAGTGGCAAACGTGGCTTAATCCAAAGGCGAATGCTCCCTTGCCCCTACACTATGAACAGCTCCAAAATAACCCCACTATTCCTGGGCAGGATACAGATAATAGGATAGATCCTTCACCAGTCACACATGACAACTGCACTGTTGTAAATGATTGAAGCTGATTATAAGCACCATAATTCGTAGCTGTCCACCACTCAATATCATCAGCTGGAGGAATTACTTGGTTATTTGGAAAGAAAATACTGCTTTTGTTTGCTGCATTCAGAGATTACCCTTAAAATCTGTAAAATCTGTAGATTCTGCAAATAAACTTTTGTTTTGCTAAAAGATAAACAGCTTGCTGCAAACCATGCTATCAACTTCGTCTCTTGACACCACTGTGCCAGACTAAGAATACAATAACAATGCTTCAACACATTACTCATAAAGGAAGTGGAAAAAGACCTGATTTCACTAGCCCAATAATGATGGTGCAAGAAGAGTGCAAAGATCTAAGATAAACAAAAATAAGTGTTTTCTGTCAAAGTTCTCTGGAACGCTTTCAAATGTGAAAGGACAGCTCTGACCACACCATTTGAGAAAACTGTACTTACGCCGGCAGCCACTAGGCCCAAAACCATAAGTTGCAGGAGCACATCGGTCACAGTTCCGGCCAACTACACTGGAGCGGCATTGGCACTGTCCTCCACTGGGATTACAAACAGAACTAAGAGATCCCTGAGGATCACACTGGCATGCTAGAGAAACAGAGAATAAGTATAAATTAGAATGAAAATTTCACAATAAGCCAAAGTTGTACCTACAAAATAAATCCAGAAGTGTTCCATCTTTAAATAAATAAAGAATGGGTAGTCACAGGGGGAATTGGACCTATTAGTGACCTAAAGGACAAATCATGCCTGAAGCAGGGATATGGGCGAGGTGCTAAGAGAGAACTCTGTATCTGTATTTACCAAGGAGATGCTGCCCACCTCTACTGGAAGAGATAGTTGAGGCACAAGACAGGACAAAAATATTAAAAAAAGGAAGCATTAGACAGGCTACCTGTACTTATTTTAAAAATGACCTGGATCGAATCTGCATTCGAACACACTGCAAAAAGGGAAGAAATTGCAGAGAATCTGACCAAAATCCTCTAGTCCTTTGTAAACTAGCGACAGGGGACTGGAAAGTTACAAACTTTATAATATTGTTCAAAACAAAAAAGGGAGCAAAGGATAAGCCTAGCAACAACAGGCCAGTTAGTTAATTCTGTTTTTTTTTAAAAATTCATTCACAGGTTGTGGGCATCACTGGCCAGGTCAGTTGTTTTGGCTAGCCCTAATTGCTCACAGGGCTAGCAAAACTAGCAGTAGGTCTAGAGTCACATGTAGGCCTGACCAGTGACCAGTTATGGATAGCAGTTTCCTTTCTTAAAAGGATATTAGTGAACCAGATACCTTTTCCGAACAATTGACAATAGTTAGACTCTCAATTCCAGATTTTTTCATATTGAATTTGATCAAATCTGCCAAGATGGGATTTGAACACAGGTACCCAGAACAGTACCCAAGTTTCTGTATTAATAGTCTAGTGATAACATCACTAGGCAATTGCCTCCCCAGGGATTGCGAGAAAGCCTTCAGAAATTGTATTTTGGGGCAAAATTCATATACTTTTACAAATATGAATTGATTCATGAAAATCAGCATGGATCTATCAAGAGAAAACTGTGTTTATCAAAGTTGCTTGAGACTTCTTGATGAGGTAACAGAGGATGACTGATGGTTATGCTGATGTACATGGATTTCCAAAAAGCATCTGTTAAGTGCCACATAATAGCCTTGTAATCATGGATAAAACTCAGCAAAAGTGGCAGTAGATGCCAGGATGTGAAATTGGTTCAGCACCAAGAAACAGTTATGAATACATGTATTGTCCAGATAGTCTAAACACAATGCTTAATTATATCACTCTTTGAAATGAACCAGCATCAAACTATAGGCTATAGATATTTTCTAATCAACCTGTTCAAAAATTCTGTTACACAGTTCTGGACCAAGCGTGACCTGGATCCATGCCTCCTGGCTCAGAGACAGTGACACTACCACTGTACTAGAGCTAATCTATTGACTATAGACTATGGAATGTTTCCAACTTCAGAAATAGATCTATCCAATGGTCCTAAAATATTTCATTCTTCTTCATCCTGTTTTAAGAACTTTATGAGCAGTAGAGCTATTGTGGCTTTTTGAATAATTGTTGGTCACTGTTCCTCTACTCATTGCTTTACGTACCCTCAGGCATAGAACTTGAAACGCTCCTTGAAAATTTATCTATCCCATTCGAACAAAATCACTGATTCACTGATCAGCGTAGCTCTTCAAAGCATTCCTCAAGGGTCACGATCCATAACTCTTGAAGCTATGCTCTTTAGACAAGGATTGATAAAACATCTGAATATTCTTTTCACTAAAAAATGTCAAATTAACTAGTCAAAGTTGTCAACTCATGCGTGACTTCTTGTTAAACGTTTAAGTCATTGTTTTATAAAATTAAAATAGTTAAACCAAAGCAACTGGAACTTCATGATATTGCTGACCACAACTTTCCAATTAAGCAGTTACACACTTTAATATTGATTTATTTTAAAAACACAAAGCCACAACTGAAGATAATCATACACAAACTGTGTACCAGTATAGACATAAATTCTTCAGCAAACAAGAGACATACATAGCTAGCACACTGAAGTGAATATGTTGTGATTTTTGCAAAAATCACAAGTTTCAACGTGGAAGGGTACAATTCTGGCACCTTTTAATATATTATTCCTAAAATATTCAACTATCCCATTGTTTGTGCTGACTTATCGAAGGCGGTTTACAGTGACACATTCCATACTTTTTTTTATCCTTTAAAGAAGCATTCAAAGCCATAATCTCTTCCCTTATGATTCCATTGCCAATCCTAAATTTATGCCTTCTTGTTACTGATTCACTGAACAGTGGAAACAAATCTTTCACTAGTTTTTTCTCCAACCCTTCAAAGAAAAGTTGTAATTAAGTCTTCAAAGTCTATGTCTAAATGCTCTTTCTATGATGCTTTGTAAACTGTAAGCGTATTCCAACTGTGAATGTATGTTTATACCATACTTATTAAAATTCGCTGCGTTTTCAAATCTAAGCAATCACTGCTCTGATTACCCTATATTTCTTAACCACCAGCCCACCGATTCACTCATGATAAATAAAGAATTAAGATAAACGTACATAAAGCTCCTTCATGGATTATGGAAGAAATGCTAGACAGGATGCCCTTACAGACATCAGTCATTGGAATCTTAGTAACACTTCGACTGTTCTCCAAACAGCGGTATCGTTGGAAGGTCTCCCAGGCTTTATTTGTGACAATCTCGCTTGAATCCCCTACAGAGAATATATCCAGTGACTTGCAGTGGGGCATGAGTACAAGCTGGAAAAATATTTAATTAAGAATCAGTTCTTTTGTCAAAATCTATCCTTCCAGGAAGTTCAAGTTTTACATTTTGTGTGATTGGACATTAAAGGTTTAGGAGCAATTTTACTTATCACTGTTTTTGTGCAAAGGAAAAATCCGACGGAACATGCTGACTTCAATGGGAATTTCTGATTCACTTTAGAACGAAAAGAAAGCGGTAATCTAGGCCAACATGTTGTAAGATCTATCAGTTAATTATACATATCAGTAAACACTATAACCATACTGGCTTAAAGCTGCAATCATAACTTGAGACACATACAAGCATTAAAATGGGGTAAAAGGGTACGTGTACCCGGACATGCCAATACATTTGTTAACCAATTACATTCACTTATGTAAATTTTAGATAATCTTATCTATTTCCAGACATACATACCGAATCTATGAATGTATAAGGAGTTTCCATTTCATCATCAGTTGAGTACTTTGTTAATTCTAAACGAATGGTGTAATTAAGTTCTTTCTCAAAACATACAGGCCGAGGTAGGACCACATACCTGGAGGAACATTATGACCAACATTCATAGTTAGCCCAACTCTTTAGACTGGTGGCTTACTATAATTCACAAAATTTTATCTTAAGTTGGCTTTATAATGCTACTTCCCTCTGAATTTTGTCAAAGAATATGTAAAATCTAAAACAGTTAACCAGTAAAACAATTAAGTGCTTGTTTATTCTCACCTTGATCCTGATGGCAGAGAAAAGACTTGGTTGTCATCAACAGGTGTTGTATTCCCACATCGACTGCTGGTGTGAATTTTACCAGGACGGAACACAGTTATTTTTGCTTCTTCCCAATTTTTTGGTAGCTGAGCAGAAGCAGCACATTATATTCGTGTCAATAGTGCTAACAGTTCTATGAAAGAATTACGTAGCTAGCTTATTGAATGAAGATTACTAACCTGAGGCTCATAACGAATCAGCAGATCATACTCCATGGAATATGGAATGTTGTGTATATGGAATTCTAGATATGTTCCTTCAGGAGCCCTTACAAATCCAATTCCTGTCCAGGTTGGAGAACGACCTTGTGGATTTTGTCGCTGTACTATTGTCACTTCCTGCAATGAAAGAAAGTCATCATAAGTGTTTCAAAAGATAGAAAGGGCCACTACAGATGAGTACACAATGAAAGCTAACTTACAGGACCCAAGTTAGCCTCCTCTGCCTCGTACGTGTAATGATCCAGGGCAATAAAATAAAACCCAGATTCAACCTCATTGCAGCGACGTCCAGCCATGTGATTTTTGCACGGGCACTGGCCTGTCTCTGCAGAACAGCTGCAAAAGCAAAACCAGCATTACTTCTTTGCAACCTGAAACATGCACAGTTGACTATGCATAATGGAAGTAGTGGTCTGGTTACATATAAAATTCCAATACCTTTCTATTGGGCACTTCATTAGCAGCAGACATTAAAACAAAAGACAATTTTTTTCTGTGTAAAGCTAACACTTTGGTTATTATTAAACACAAAAAAATGCTCACACACAAACATAATTTTGCTGTAATTTACTTTAGGACTCTCTCATTTAGGACTAACTCTCATCTTGGCACAAGTAATTATTGGAGTAAGAACATCATTTGGGAGCATTCTTTCAACTGCTATTCAACCACGACAAAGCCAAACAAAAAAGATATTTTTAGAAGCAACTTGCTGTTGCATTTATCACTACCTTCCTTTATCCACCTGTTATAACATTCAAGTGTTCCCAGTTAATCAGTAATCATTTGAACATTTTTATTCTCTACAATAAATGATTAAGAAGCCAGCCTTACTCATTACTGTATGACCCGCCTAGGTCACAGTCACAAGGGCGACATCCATCAAGATCACTGCTTAATCCCCAGTGTTGTGGCTGTAAAACAATAAATCAGTATAGTTTTAATTATCACATGACTGTAGACAAGCCATTAAGATGAATTTAATTATGCTTGGTCTTAAATCATATGGCAGATAGAAACAATTAATTCATATTCTTCAACTTCAATGAAGTTTTGTTTTATAAGAAGCACATTGCCACACTAAAAAATTCCACGGATTCAAAGCATCTGAAACAAACTAGAGAAGCTGTTTTCAGTGACAAATAATTTGAATCCCATGTTTGTTATTCCTAAAATAGAGTATTAGCTCAATTTTCTATTGAAAAAGGGGCAAAATATTTTCATCAGCATTATTGAACATTAAACTTTAGTAATTTTTTCATTTTCGGTCAATATAACTTAAGCTTCATGGAAACATTAGGTCTTGGTTTTAATCACTGTTCATGCCCCAGATCCAATTAGGGCTGAGCAATGATGAAGTCACGTACAGGAAAGCATGCTCATTTTATTTTGATTCTTGGAATAAAATAGATACATTAAATCAAGTCAATGCTTTTAGTACTCTATAATTTAAAGAAACAGTTTTGCTGATTGACCTATCCAGATATCAGCAGGAATAAACTTCTGTTAGCACACTGGGGGAGAGGGTTGACATACAGAAATCAATAGTGCCAGTAGAAAACAAGTGTCTACACAGTAGTTTGGCAAATTTGATGCTATTTCCAAGATTTAATATTTCTCCAGGATGTTAAAACTAACCATGTGCTCTTTGAAAGATTTAAATTACGTTCAACTCAGAAACCTTGAACAATTTTTGGCATTTTGTCCATTTCTGTTTCTGTAGTTTTCTTACCAGACACTGATCACAATTCCTTCCCGTCACTAGACGTTTACAGAAGCAACTTCCCGTTACATCATCGCATGGAGTTCCGCCTGGATGAGTTCCCAAATGGTTACAGGTACATGCTAAGGTGACCAAAATGAAATGCGTCAGCAACAGTCTCCATTTTAGGACAAGAAAAAAAACTGGTGGTGCAGGAGCATTTAAAATTAATTTTGGCACGGCAAATATACAGCTTGTGGGTTAAGGAATTTTAACTGCTGCCCGCACCATAGCATAAGAACAAATGACCGGAGGAAAAATCTGGTAGATGTCTGAGTCAGGCACATCGTTAAATGGATCCCCACCACTTCCACCCATACATGCAGAAAGTTGTTTAAAAAGGCTTCTACACTGACTGCATGGCTCGGATTATAGTTTTAATGCATACAGCATATATTCTTTCCCTAGTTACACTGGGTGTTGAGCGGTCTGTTCCTAGAGGGCCATTGAAGCATCCTAAGCTGAGGCAAGCCTTTAAGTTTTTTTTTAAGATGCGTGTGGGATCAGAAGCACCATCCCCAATTCTTTCTAACTCGCAAACCACTTTCATCTCCACCCCAAATCGTATTTGCTCGTTTCACCTGTGCAGAAAACAATTAAATGAGTGAAACCAGTTTGGTCCCAAAGATTGCCATAATATCTGAATCAAACTTGAACCTGGAAATGAGTTTCCTGATTATACCTACAAACAAATACTGTGAGCTCAGCAGGCTTTCCATTATTTTCTGCTGAAATTTTTGTTTATTGTAATTTGCTTACAGAATATAAACATTGCTGGCTAGGCCAGCATTTATTGCCCATCCCTCATTACCCTTGAGAATGTGGTGATGAGCTGTGTTTTTGAACTAATACAATCCACCTGCTGTAGGTAAAGGTGCAATACTGTTAGGAAAGGAATGCCCAGATTTTGATCTGGTAGCACTAAATACACATTTCAAAGTCAGGATGGTGAGTGGCTTGGAGGGAAACCTGCAGGTGGTGGTATTTCCATGCATTTGCAGCCCTTGTGGATAGTAGTGGTTGTGAATTTGGAAGGAGCTAAGGAGCCTTAATGAAATTCTGCAGTGCATCTTGTAGATGGTACACACCGCTGTTGTGTGCCAGTGGTGCTGGGAGTGAATGTTTATGGATGTGGTGCCAATCAAGCAGGCTGCTTGGTAATAAATAGTGACGAGTTTTATTTTGAGTGTTTTTGGAGCCGCACCATCCAGGCCATTGGGGGCATTCCATCATACTCTTGTGTCTTATAGATGATAGAATTACTTGCTGCAGAATTCCTAGCCTCTGTAGCCTAGTTCTTGTAGCCACAGTATTTATATGGATAATCCAATTCACTTTCTGGTCAAACTTTAAAAGATACGTGGATTTGGCAGTCATGAACAAAGTACAAGTATGGGTGTGTAGCACAATATAATCAAAAGGGTTAAGGCTAGGGATATTCAGCTACTGCTTGATTAGAACAAATGTGCTATAGTGGTGGGAGAAACTTGGACCCTGTGCGCATGGGCCATTCAACTTATCAAAGGGTACTCTCTCGAAAGATTAAACTGATTGGTCCTACCTGATTATACATCCTATATACTAACCGGTCATTTCCAATTCTTTTTCCAGATTTCCAGCACCTACATAGAGCTTCTAAAATATTTATTTCAAGAAAGTTGTGCAGTTTATGTTAAAATGGCCCAAGTCTTAATTGTTATTTCCCCAGAGTTATTGCAGAAATCTGCTGGTAGATATTTAATTAAGTCACTTAAGTCACCAAATCACCAAATTTAATTAAATCACCAATTAAACACAACTTTTCCATTTTTCTAAACGAATGAACAAACCATTCTATGCTGATCCAATTACACAAACACAAACCTACAATGAAGTAACAGGTTTGAGAATAAACTATCACACTTGTAAATGGATTTCAGTGACAGTGCATGAGAGAAGAAAGATATAGAAAATGCAAAACAGAGCACGCAAAGTATATCAATTTTCAAAAAATAGTCATCTACTTACGCTGGCATCCCAATGGATCATCTGCGCTTAGACCAAAGAAACCTTCTTTGCACAGATCACAGCGCTCACCCTCAATGTTTAGCTTACAACGGCACTGTCCCGCAATGAGATTAGCTGTCAAATCGGTGTGGCTGTCACAGATTCCGCCATTTAATGATCCAGCAGGGTCACAGTTACAAGCTGCATTAACAGTAGATTCAAGTAATTTATATATCAAGAGTACAGAAAACCCATCTTTGAATTACTTAAACAAATGCTATCAATTAATTATATATTCAGCTCAAAGTTTTTGTTTTAACATGATCATTTGCAGAAGTGAATTTGAGCCAAAGGTGATATATTTGCCCTAAGTTCACGTTTGGTTCAGTTGCTATGAATTGTCAGCAAAGTGATAGCTTTCTTTAATCCTCACGGGATGCAGACATCACTGGCGAGGCCAGCATTTGTTCAATATTCCTAACAGGTCTTGAACGGAGTTGTCTGCTGGAGTACTTTAAAGGGTCAACCGTTTTATTGTGGGTCTGAACTCACATGTAAGACAGACTAGGTGGCGATGGTAGATTTCCTTTCCTAAAGGATATTAATGAACGAAATAAGTTTTTACAACGATGACCTTTTCATAGTAACCATTACAGAGACTTAACTTTATATTCTATTTTAATTCACGAAGTTTAAATTCCACCAGCTGCTGTGATGGAATTTGAACCTGGGTCTCTGTATTTCATATGAACATAGGAGTAAGGCCATTCACAAGATGCAAAAAGGTCAATCAAACCTTTAAAGACCGCTTCACCATTCAGTAAAATCATGGCTGATCAGATTGCAGCCTCAGTTCCACATTTCATGCTGTCCCCAAAAACATTTCATTCCTGGATTATCAAAAGTCCACCTAGTTTTGCCATACTTTGTATAATTAACGTATAACCTTCCTATCTTTTTTCTCTTAAATTCAATCCCCTTTGCAATAAAAAATAATATTCTATTAACTCTCCTAACTAGTTAGAGTCAGAGTTCTACAGCACAGAAACAGACTCTTTGGTCCATCTTGTTCAGGCTGACCAGATAACCCGAATTAATCTAGTCCCGTTTGCCAGCATTTGGCCCATATCCCTCCAAACCATTACTATTCATGGACCGATCCAGATTCCTTTTAAGTGCTGAAATTGTTGTATCTGGACACTAAACTATCACAGTTAATGTATTAGGACATCCAGATCCCTCTGCATCTTAGAAATGTGCAGTCTCTCACCACTTAAACAACTTTGTTAATATGCTTTCTGCCAAAATGGACACATTTTCCCAGGTCTTGATCCACTCATTTAATGTACCTCCATCTTGTCAAGCCTCATGTCCCCCTCACAACTTAGTTTTCTACCTTTGTCTCATCACCATTTAGCAACCATATATTCATACCTGTATCCAAGTATTGGATTAGCATGGATTCCTGTTTCACACCACTCATTATATTTTGCCATTCAGAAAAATGACCCATGTTGCCTTTGTTTTCCTGTTAGCTAACTAATCTTCTATTCATATCAATGTCAATCCTCACACCACCCAATGACATTTACTGGACCAGCGACATTACCATGACATCAGTGTCTTATCCAGTCCTAACTGTAACAAATTCATTTTTCTTATTCAATTGTAAGTTTGTTTTTGTATGTAGATAATTTTGAATTAAAAGTAGACCATTTCAAATTTCTTCATTTCAGAGATAACACTGAATTTATTAAGAAAGCTGAATGAGGAAAGTAAATGCCTTGAAGCATGTTCCATTTCAAACTCTTGAAATTCCCTCAAAGAAAGATCAAACAGATCAATGTCAGCCACTTCTTTCACAGATCCTGGTGTATCAAATAACAGAGCTTACGTTCACAGATGTCACTGGCACGAATGCTTCGTTCTGGATGCTGGTAGTAGAAAGGTTTACATTGTTCACAGTGTTGTCCCATTGTATTATTTCGACAGCCATCACAAACACCACCACTAACGTTACCAGATGCTATATATACAGCCATGTCAAAGTGACATTTATCAGCATGTCCGTTGCAGCTACATCCTGAAATTGAAAATACAAAAAGCATAAACTTAACATATTTGTCCAAGTAGTTCATGGTTCAAATTAGAATCATGCACATTAAAACACATGTAAAGGATAAATGGTCCCACCCATCCAAATGTTGGCCTCTGGCAGCTAATCAGTGCCAGCACACTTTCTAGAGAAGGTTACATTACGTGTTACATTAAAAAAATCCATAGCTTACAAGGGCACACAGACTTACAAGTGAGTCAAAAGAAATGCTTTTGTCTGATCTTCTTTGAAGCATCTTAAAACATTGTGTTCTGTTAAAGGGGTGAGACTTTCAACCAGATTTTTGGCAATTTTAATGCTATTCCATTGCAAATCATTGTAACCGAGAATGGGTGACTCTAGTTGGAATGCTGAACTCGTATAGCAGCCATTTTTTTACAACTTGTGCACCATTTGAAGAGAGTGGGGTTGGTTTAGGTGGGAGAGCGAGATCAAAACACTCGAATAACTTTCAACATTTACTAACTTAGTATAAATAAATAACCAAACATTCCTGCTCCACAAAATAGATTTGTTGCTCATAGTGTGTTTTGTTAATTTTTCTATTCCCTTTATGTGGGACCTACTGCAAGAGGCACGTTCATGCTCTGGTATGCCACTGATGTAACCTTCATTACTTCACAAGTCTCAACAGCAGATATTAGCAAGTTGTGGAAGTAAAAGATCAAAGTTCAATGCAGACTTTGAAAGCAAACTCTCAATCGTGGTTGCTGGTCAGCAATTGGGTACGGGGACTAAATGCAACAAAGCATCGTAGCAGTTTACTTCAAAATTGTAAAATCTCATCTCTTTCACAGGAAATTTTAAAGAGACAACTGTATTAGAAACTTTGAGAACTCTGATTAGCAGCCTTCTGAAACATTTTGTTATCTTTGAGAAAAATCTAACAATACACAAGTCTGAGCAAAACACTGCAGATGCTGGAAATCTGAAACAAAACAGAAAATACTGGAGCAAGTCAGGCAGCATCCATTGCTGTGGACAGAGAAATGGTTAACATTTCAAGTCCAATACGACTCTTCTTCAGAGGATAGATAAATCTGTTTGAGATAATCATATTTTAAAGGGAGTAAGGTGGCTGGCTAATTGCCAAGGTCTAGGAAATAATGAGAAGCTGCCTGTTTTTGAGGAGGTTATTGTTTATGAATTTTCAGTCTTAAAGCTATACATTATGAGCAATATATTTATTTGGAGTGTCAGATGTCCAATGTAACTGAATTTTATCAAATGAAATATCCATGCAATAACTAAAATTGATTGATAATATAATATGGTTAAATGAGAGAATCCATTTGATTTGTGTATCTAAAGTGAACTTATTTGTAAATCTCCAGGAGTTCACTTTAGATAGCTAAATCAAATGGATTCTCTCACATAACCATATTATGATGGATTAGCATTCATGTTATGTATATTAAAAGGTATCAACTGAAACATTTACGATAGTTAAAAATAAAAACAGAAATTAAAAACTCAATAGGTCTGGCAACATCTGTGGAGAGAAATCAGAGTTAATGTTTTGGGTTCAGTGACCCTCCTTCAGAACTGATGGTAGCCAGGAAAAAGTTGTTTTTTTTTAATGCAGAAGCTAGGGTGGCGGGAGGGGGCAAGGAGTAAACGATAGGTGAAGATAGAACCCAAATAGAGATAAGGACAGTTGGACAAGGAGTGTATAATGAATAGCTGCTAATGGGGGCTATTCACAACTAACAATGGGTTGTGTGTAATACCAGACCATGTGATAATAAGGCCTGGTATATGACAGCTGGAATAACAGCAATGGGAGAAGTTGGATCAAGCCCTAAAATTGTTGAACTCAATACAGTCCAGGAGGCTGTACAGTTCCCAAGTGGAAAATAAGGTGCTGCTCTTCCAGCTCGCGCTGAGCTTCGCTGCAGCACTGTAGCAAGCCCGAGACAGAGATGTTGGCTGGGGAACAAGGTGTGTTAAAGTGGCAGGCTGCTGGAAGCTCAGAGTCTTTTGGACAGAACATAAAAGTGTTCTGCAAAGCTTTCATCCAGTCTACGCTTCGTTTCCCCAATGTAGAGACCACATTTTGAGCAGCAAATGCAGTAAACTAGATTGAGTGAAATGCAGGTAATTCACTGCTTCACCTGGAAGTTGTGGTGGGCCCTTGGATACCAAGGAGGAAGTAAACAGGCAGGTGTTACACCTTCTGCAGTAGCAGGAGAAGGTGCTTTGGGGATGGTGGGAGGTGGGGGGGGGGGGGGGGGGGGGGGCGGCGTGGGCTTGGTAGGAGTGAAGGAAGAATGGACCAGGGTTTCCTGGAGGGAATGATCCTTGTAGAAGGCTGACGAGGGAGGGGAGGAAAATGTATGTTTGGCAGTGGCATCCTGTTGAAGCTGGTGAAAATGGTGACTAATGATTCCATGGATGTGGATGCTGGTGGGATTGTAGGTGAGGACAAAGGGGACCCTATTGCGTGGGGGGGATGGGAGATACTCTGAGGGTCGGTGTGGACTTGTTGGGCCAAAGGGCCTGTTTCCATGCTGTAGGGATTCTATGAATTCTATGTACTCCACAAAGACAGAGGCATAACTGAGGCCTACGCAGGTATTCATGGTCACCCCTTTGACCTGAAGAAAGTGAGAGGAGAGGAGTTAAAAGAGAAGTTGTTCATGGTGAGGACAAGCTCAGCCAGGTGGAGGAGATTCCACAGTTCTTTTGGTTTTTACGCAAGTCAAAACATATCCATGAAAATAATTAAGTTTGTACACTGCTTTATTCAAGGTATTTGTGGATGCCAAATAGCAATTGTTGCGCTGCTTTATCTTTTCAATCAATCTTGTAGCAAGAATTTGACTACTGATGCTGTCATTAAGAATCTAATAAAGTGATTCCACTGTAACATATTTCTGTGCATTCTAATGAAAGAAAGGAATGGGAAATTGTAAAACCTCAGATATGAAAGACAATGGTAAAAAGATCAAATATGTGGGATAGTGTTTCTTATTGATTGCACGCATGAGGCTCTGTGGTTTAGATCACAAGAGATGTCAGTCTGTCTGCCCACAGAACCAAACCACAACAGGAAGCAAGTTTGTGTCTTCGTTTAGCAACCTACATGCATCGTAGTTGATTACAACCAACTCGATTGTCACATTAGTTGAGGGAGGTGAACTCAGGAGATTGAACCCAAGGCCTTTTGGTCTGTACTCAATGGATAGTCTTACTGAGCTATGGGGAAATGCTGCCTTTTTTATTTTAAGGATAAAGAAAGCTACAAGTATATGTTGCATGCAAAAAGGAAGCAAAGTGAAAGTATTCATCAACTTGCAAATATTTTGATGTGTGACCCACTTTGGCATGCATTGCTGTTGCGTCCTTCAGCAGGTTTCCAAGGTGCACTATGGTGGAAGTCCTGACATAGCTCACAGTTTAACCCCCTAGTGTTGTGACGACACACACACCGGCCATGCACCTGAAAAACAAAATTGAATTGAGTGCTTTACGAACTGTTACTTCAATGATATTTCTGCAACATAAATATTGTTAACATTGTCAAGAATATCCACATTCACTTGACTTTAACACAAGTTAACCATGAAACCAATAATCCCAGATTTTCTGGCTGGAAAATAGTTGTTGCAGCAACATACTCTAAAAGATGCACTATCGAACCTCTTGGATGCTCCAATGCATCAACTAGACAGGCTTTGTTCAAGAAGTTGAAACTTCCAATGGCCATTTACCTGGTGTCTGAAACCCTCTGAAAATGTCCTCAACTCTAATTCAGAGTTTAAAACTTCAGAGGAATTTTACTCACTTATTTAAATAATAATAAAATAATAACATCCAGAAAATGTATTGCATTGTAAAATGACGGAGGGATTAAAACTTGTTCCAAGTCCTGTACAATTGAGGACACCACATGCAATCATACGCCAAGAGTGAGAATTCTTGTTACTGAATGCATGTAAATTCTCAGCTATCCGAAATCCTTTGAATTGGAGACTTGTTTGTAGTATACCTTTGACCTCAAATACTATATCACTTGGACCATGTTATCACACTGCTTCTGGCTATAGACAGTGTTTCTTCAGCCATAGTATATAATCTGATAATATAACAAATAGTTTAACAGGAAAGCAATATGTCATTTTCCAGAAATGTGTGCTGACGTAGGACATAATCACAGAGCATCAACTCAAATGGATGCTCAAAAGAGGTTCATCAGATACAGCAGGCAACTGAAAAACCAAGAGAAGAAAACAGTTGTGTTAATTAATCTCACTACTTTTAAAATTGATATAGAGGCAATTGTCATGATATTATTAGATCATATGCCACAGCAGGGCTCATTGAATCTTTAACTGACATAATTCAGAGTGTCACACAATTTGGTGACTAAAACTCAGTGGGCTGAGGAAAGGTCACTCGAGCCAGAACGTTAACTCTGATTTCTCTCCACAAATGCTGCCAGACATGCTGAGTTTTTCCAGCAATTTCTGTTTTTATTTCCGATTTTGTTTCCGATTTACAGAATTGGCAGTTCTTTTGGTTTTTAAACTTAATTTCCTTAGTCTCCTAGGAGGATTCCTTGGTACCAGTGACAGATATCACACCAAGCAAGAAGCGATCTTTAAATACTACGACCAACACAGTGAGTCTGTTGGTTGGAAGGCTAGTTTGTGATGCAGAGTGATGCCAACAGCATGGATTCAATTCCTGCACTAGCTGATATTACTATGAAATCCTCTTCTTCTCAACCTGTTCTCTTACTCGAGATTGACCCTCAGGTTAAACAGCTAACAGTTGTCTCCCTCTGTAATGCAACCTTATCCTCTGGCACCAAGGTGACTAATTTTACCTCAGTCTTTGTAACTATGGGCACTATATCAGTGTAACATACATAGTTGTTAACATGCAATAAATTCTCTCTCTTGTAAGAGTCTAACAAGAACAGATTAAGTGGTTTTCCTTGACCACAGTAAACTAAGCAGACCCTGTAAATCCCTATCCCAAAAGAGGGCAGTAGCAGCAAATCCATCTTATGGTGAGCGACATTACAGAGGGACCATGCAACACTATGGAACAGTGGTAAGGACTGCTCATAAAATAACCACATCATCCACCTACCTGTCATCTTTCTATCCCCACCTACTTACATATTGCCACATCCCTTCATCCACTCATCTACCACACTATCCCCTAAGCTACCTACCTTACACATGCCTTCCCTCCATAGGTTTTTACTGAGACTTTGCAGCAGTTAAACACTTCACTTACTGGAATACAGCAATTAGCACTGCTTCAAACAAAAAAGATGCAGCTGACATCCCCCAACGATGCTATAATACAAGGGTTCAGCCGAACTGAAGGTACACTACACATAACGTAAAACATCCATCACGGGAACTCAGGCCAAGAAATACAGGTAGTGGTGTGATGACCACGGATCATAATGCCTGATCCCTATGGACAAACTGAACTTTTAATTGCAGTGTTTTTGTTCAAAATAAGGTGAAACTGCCAAAGGATGACTGTGACTATGACTGTCCAGAATGTCTCCTAGAATGTCACACATGAAGGGGTCAAGGAAGTTTCAAAATAAGAAATGCATTGCAAGCTAACATACAATCTTGACCAAATAAAAACCAAAAGAACTGCGGATGCTGTAAATCAGGAACAAAAACAAAGTTACTGGAAAAGCCCAGCAGGTCTGGCAGCATCTGTGAAGGAAAAAACTGTTAATGTTTCGGGTCCGGTGACTGTTCCTCAGAAGGATCTTGACCGTCTCAGACAGTGCATACGATAGGAGAAAAGACAGCAGTTTGGGTGAGAGACACATTTGCATTTTCCCCTTTCAAGAATACAAGGAGCAAAACAAGTTTCAGCCCTGGTCAGCCTGTGCTAGCTTGCAGAGGTGCTTGTTTGTGCTAGCCTGAGTAACCAATCAACTCACTCTTTCATTAAGTCAAGAAAATTTGGTCACATGGGCCCTTCTAAAACAAGTTCATTTGATCTGGGAGAAAGGTACCCCCTAAAAGGGGAGGGGATCCTTTATTCCAACCTAAGGGGACAGGTGAACAAAGAAGGAGAACCAGTTCATCCTGCCTCACTCAGGAGCTTGACAATCGAAGGCACCCCCCGGAACCAAAATAAATCAGCAAACTTGAAGATTAGTTATAACAGGGGGCAAAGGATAAGAGACTAGGCGTGGGAACAACACAATCTGGGCCATTATTTAACTTGGTTATAATCATTAGGTGTCTAAACAAATGCTGCTTTGACACACACAGGAACAGTTGGAGCAACAAAAGTTCAAAACTCTTGCAGCTCTCCCAGTTAAGACAGTCACAAGTATTAAACTACTTATTCTCTGTATGGATCAAAATCAAACTGCTAACCCCTACACACATTCACACTTTTCAACATTTAGGCCCAATGTTTCTTGAAACAAAATTATTCTCCAAAGATTCAAAATTTTAATGTATTAGGAACACTACGTGCTTGTGAAATACCATTAATCAACCATACGCTATAGAAATATTTGGCAGGTAGGGGGCAATTTCACCACTATTTTTGTGAAATTGAAATCTTTCTCTGTTTCACCTGCAATGATACTGTGGAAGAGGTGATATGCATTTAGAGTCATACAGTCAAAGAGATATACAACACGGAAGCAGACACTTCGGTCCAAATTGTCCATGCCGACCAATTTTTCCCGGATAAATCAAAAGTCCCATTTGCCAGCATTTGGTCCATTTCCCTCTAAACCCTTCCTATTCATACATCCATCCAGATGCCATTCCAATGTTGTAATTGTACTAACCTCCTTCACTTCCTCTGGCAGCTCATTCCACCCTCTGCGTGAAAAAGTTGCCCCTTAGGTCCTTTTCCCCTCTCACCTTAAACCTATGCCCTCCAGTTTGGACTCCTCCACCCCAGGGAAAAGACCTTACCTATTTACCCTATCCATGCCCCTCATGATTTTATAAACCTCTAGAAGGTCACCCTGAGCCTCCAGGGAAAATTGCCCCAGTCTACTCAGCCTCTACTTATAGTTCAAAACCTCCAACCCTGGCAACATCCTTGTAAATCTTTTCTGAACCATGTCTAGTTTCACAACATCCTTCCTTCCTATAGGAGGGAGACCAGAACTGTATGCAATACTCCAAAAGTGGCCTAATGAATGTCCTGTACAGCCTCAACATGACCTCCCAACTCCTAAATGCAATGCACTGACCAATAAAAGCAAGCATACCAAACGCCTTCTTCACTACCCTGTCTACCTGCGATTCCACTTTCAAGGAACTATGAACCTGCACCCCAAGGTCTCTTTGTTCAGCAGTACTGCATAGGACCTTACCATTAAATGTACAAGACCTGCCCCAATTTGCCTTTCCAAAATGCAGCACCTCACACTTATCTAAATTCAACTCCATCTGCTGCTCCTCAGCCCATTGGCCCATCTGATCAAGATCCCATTGTATTCGGAGGTAATCTTGTTGCTGTCCACTACACCTCCAATTTTGGTGTCATCTGCAAACTTACTAACCATACCTCATGTTCACATCCAAATCATTTATATAAATGACAAAAAGCAGGGGACCCAGCACCGATCCTCGTGGCACACCGCTGGTTACGGGCCTCCAGTCTGAAAAACTCATTAATCAAAGTTGGAATGATGAGCGTTTCTACTTTATCAAAAATTATTTTGTCCAAAAACTAAATGAGTGTACATTTAATGAAACACTTCAGTAATTAGAAATGCCAAGACAAATATCTGTGTAGAACAAACTTTACTCGTAAATTCCCAGCAAAGGGTTTAAACAGCATGGTGGCTCAGCAGCCTAAAGCACTACACTGTATAACTGAGAGACACAAGCATTCTGCTTTAAGTCACACCACTGAATTAATTATCTCTGCCTTTAAACAGCTGGGCAAACAGGAATCAGAGGCACCAAAAGGGAAGCAAGAAGCAGTTTCTGTCCCAGAGATCACTGTTTTCTACAGCCTATCAGCTGGATCAGGCTATTAGTGAAGGGCTGAAACAGGTTTGATGCCAGTTTTATCCGGCACCTGGGATGCAACCCAGGGAGAGGGGAAAAGAAGAAAAAAAGTAAGAATTAAAAATGGTACTAATGAAATTACTGCAGTGCGTCTTATGCAAAATGAATACGTCCAGACTCCAGTCTGACCCCGGTAACAGGAAAGTGAAAAATCTCTAATTGCTGAGACTTTGCGAACTTAAGCTCAGTTTTGTCTTAAGGCTCAAGAACAGGAAATGGCAGAGAGTCAGGTCAAGGAAACTTTTCATCTGGGTTCCATTAAGCTCTGATTGGAGTTCTATCAGACTTCACTCTGGAGCGGGTCACATTCCCATTTCAGGGCTCAAAACAAAGTTTGCAACTCTTTACATTTTGTAGCAGCCAGCTTGAAAGAGCAAATGTATGTTTTATTGCCATAATGCAGCATGTCAAAGCCAAAACAATGAAAAGTATTTAAACAATAGTTCAAGACTAAAGTTGAAAACATATGTTTGCTTTAATCAGGAAGTGCAATATGATTGCGAATGACCCTTGTACTTACCTTCCCATCCACATCTTGGTCATCAGAATCATGAACAGGAGCACACTCACTGGCATGTCCATAGCAGAAGCAATTCCCCCGAACTACCATATCATAGATAGCATAATAATATTTTTCTTTGATTTCTATTCGAGAGTCCAGCAAGTTGTCACCCAGAGTATGGAGTTTGGTAAACTTTATCCTCAGGTTTGTGATCTTCAGCATATCTTCAAAACAAAATATCTAATTAAACTAAAATCCCTCATTAAAATTAGTACCTTAGAAACAATGAAGTTGTTCGTTTTCTCAAAAACATTCAATTTTAATTTTACTAGCCAACATCCACTAATTCTGCAATTTCACTGTATTGCAAGGCTAATTAGAAGCTAAAAAAATCAAGTTTTCAAATCTGAGATAACAAGGTGTAGAGCTGGATGAACACAGCAGGCCAAGCAGCATCAGAGGAGCAAGGCGGCTGACGTTTCGGGCCTAGACCCTTCTTCAGAAAATCTGTCGACTTTGATAATCTTGAAAAGTGCTTTATGACAAATCAGTAGGTTTAGAAATTGAAGTAGATTCTGTGCTCAATCTCAATGCAGCATTACAAATGTAATGCAAAATATACTGCAATCAATCAGATTGCCTAATCTTTTCCAATAGCACTTCAGCGGACATCTCTGCATAATTTACCATACAGAAAGAATTCAAGACTGACATAAGTCTGATAGAACCAACACCTCTTTGATTAATCAGTTCCAAAATCTATTTCATCTTTAAAAACTAGATCAATTGAGGGAGAAAAAGAATTGTAGGTTTCTTCCTGAATTCCACAAAGCCAATAAAATAAAAAGCTGGAGAACCCCTGCATGAGGTCAAGTTGAGTGAAACTGCTGTACAAGATAAAAATTCAGCTTAATCACAGCCAATGTAGCCCCTTTCTTGGTAGATTCTGAACGAGAGAAAGTGCTTCCACTGATCAGAAACAAAAGTTGGATTTAAATGTAAACCTGGGTGAATCTGTCATTCATCCAAAATCCAACTCTCGTTTATCCTCAAATTCAGTTCTGGGGGTGGGGGGTGGGGAAGAGGGAGAGGGGATGGAAAGAATCAAACAGAGAAATGCTATGCTGGCATTAAACATTCTTTTTCTTTCTCTGTATTCTCTTTCACCATCACGACCAGAATATCCTTAGTGTTTCATTGAGAACACAAATGGAACAGACAAAAATCAAACAAAGGCTGGAAGTTAACAATTTTTGTAAAAAAAAATCTACAATTTCCAGTCCTCTGCCAAAAACAATATCCTGATGGGGAACATCCTACACTTCTTTACTGTAACCAGGTTATATTCAGGCCAACAGGAAGCATGTGGGGCAGACAGGAAACTATGATTAATACACATTTATTTACCCAGTTACCACCATTGATAAAGAAACATTACCAGAAAAAACAAATACAACAGAAAATATTTAGAGGTTCATGTTAATATTGGCAGGAATAAGATTAAATCATTGTACTGTGTAAATCATTGATAGCAATCAGAGGAAAAATTACAGGAATGTTTAGTTTTTATTAAAAGGATTAAATTGTAGTAATATTAGCAAGTGTAGAAGTAACAATTACTTTGTATTCTCCGGCTGTATGGATCTTCAATTTTAAAGGCTGGATCCAGTACCCGATAGATAACCTGAAGACAGAAAAGTTTAATAAATCATACAAGTGGCAATGCACATGCATCCTATAAGGATGAGAAATACATGATAATGTTTAGATAAGTATTTTGGAATGATATTTTCAATCATTATTTTGGTACTCAGATTTTAAGTTGAACTAAGCTGAAAGCCCTGGCCGACAACTGCTTGTTACTAAGCATTTGTTACAAACCTCTCCTTCGGTAGAAGGTTCAATATCAGAGTACCGAGTGTCACAGATAATGTCGTCCACTTTCTTTAATGATCCTGTTGGAATGCCTGGAAAGGATGATTCGCAGTCGTAAGCATAATACCGATAGACTTGCCAGGTCTTCCCAAAATCAGAAGATCGCTCTATCATCATAGCAGCTGGGCGGAAAGTCTAGAGAGAGAAAGGAGAGACGTTTTATCGTTTTCAGAAAGTGATTAAGTTTAGGCAAACCTATTCAATGATTTGCATGTATGAAATGAAACTTAAGCACAGGGTTGGTGTATCCAACCTATTCAGCCATTCAATTAGATCCTGGCTAATTACAACTCTATTTAACGATCTTTAGTCCATTTCCCTGATGCCCTTATCCAACAATGTTCTGTTGATTTATTGTGAAATTTTCAATGGGCTCAACATCAGTTGGGAGAGAATTTCATGTATCTCACTATCCTTTGTATGAAATACCACTTCCAGATTTTACGTATGAGAGGTCCTGCTCCAATTTGAAGATTACTTACATTATGGAATTTCTCCTGAAGGGAGTAGCTATCTTATAGAATCCTCTTATTAGATAACCTCTCACGCTTCTAAACTTAAAGGAATACAAAGTAAATTTATGTGAAATCTCTTTAGAATTCAACCCTCACTACCCCTGTAACTGCAAAGCAATGTAAAAAAACTTGAACAGCTTTGAAATGGAAACTATTACTGACTAAAGAGTTCAGAGATAACAAGAACTGCTAATGCTGGAGTCAGAGGCAATACAGCGTGGAGCTGGAGGAACACAGCAGGCCAGGCAGCAGAGGATCAGGAAAGTTGACGTTTCGGGTCAGGACCGTTCTTCAGAAATGGGGAGAGTGAAGGGGTCCCGTCCCGAAACGTCAGCTTTCCTGCTCCTCTGATGCTGCCTGATCTGCTGTATTGTCACTGAATAAAGAATAAAAAGCACTGAAGGCACGTTACTGCCCTGCTAGCCATTCTGCATTTTCTTTCTCCTCCGGAAAAAAAGTTTCATAGATGTAGAAGAAAACTGCATTTTGTTCATAGCCATAATGTATGTTTAGGTAAATATTTGGTAGGTTAACAAAGAAATATTTTCAAATAAACTGAACATGCACAAATTTGAAAGTAGAAACTTCAGCCTCTATGGAGTTACGTGTGCATCAATTAGGAAAGCAGATCAATGGCTCCCTGAAGTTGTTCTTCCATTTGTAGATTATAACAGGGGAAGGGAAAGTTCAAAAGGCTTCAGAAGTTGACTTGTACAGTAGATGAGTACATGGTTTTGATATGCCAGATTTCTATTCTGTACAGTTCAATACTAATTATTTTGTTGATGGTCAAGGTTCATTATTTTTCCAATGCATTTTATATTGCTTAGATCTTGTTTTAAGATCACAAAGCACAAGACATTACCTTGAATAATAAGTAGCGATTAGATATGCTTATTCCCTTCATCTCTATTTAAAACATCACAAGGGAATTAGGGATCACTGTTCAAAAATCAGTGGTCGCCCATTTAAAACATTTCTCAAATTTTTGAGAAAGTGGTAGAAGCAGAGTCTTTGAATATTTTTAAGGGGGAGGTAGATAGATTCTTATTAAACGGGATATTGATGGGCTATCAACAGTAGGTAGGAATGTGGATTTAAGCTTAAAATCAGTTCAGCCATGACCTCACTGAATAGCTAGCTGGCTCAAGGGACCGTATGACCTATTTCTGTTCCTGATTCATACATCTGTATGCCTGAAAGGCAACTGTACACCAGGAAGTGGAAGGATGGGATGAGCGCACGAGAATTACAATCACTGGAGAAGTGGTACTGAGCAAATTGTTGGGAGCTGCAAGCTGACCAGCCAAGGACCTAGTGGACTTCATCTCAAGTCTTAAAATTGGCCAGTGAGACAGTTGGCACATTGCTATTAATTTTTCAAAATTCCCTACTTTCGGGGAAGGTTTCGTTAGATTGGAAGATGGCAAATGTAACTCCTTTTTTAAAAGGGAGGGAAACAGAAAGCAGGAAAATATAGGAAAGTCTGTTTAACATCTGTCATAAGAAAAATGTTAGAAGTTATCAGTAAAGATGTTCTAGCAGGGCATTTGGACAAGTTCAGGGTAGAGTTAACAAATGGGGAATCGTGTTTAACCAATTTATTTGAGCTCTCTGAAGAAATGTGCTGTGGATAATGGAGACTTGGTGGGTGTATTGTACCTATATGTCCAGAAGATAAGGTGCCACAAAGATTACTGCCGAAAGAGAGAGGTATAATACTGAAATGACCAGGTAATTGATTGGTTTACAGGAAGCAGTGCTTAGGAATAAATGTGTCTTTATCATTTTGGCAAGATTTTATAAATGGTGTACCACAGGAAATTGCACTGGAACCTCAGCTGCTTACAATTTATAGGAATCATTTGGATGAAGGCTTGGATGGTATGGGTGCCAAACTTGCTGCTGAGCTAATGATAGTTAGGAAAATAAGCTATGAAATGGATATACAGAGTCTATTAAAAAGGTAGTCTAAATGAGTGGACAAAGATCTGAGCAGAGATAGTTTACCAATTGTCCATTTTGGCTAGAAATATAAAAATAATAATTTTCTAAATAGTGAGAGAATGCAGAACAAGTAACTGCGAAAGCCAATAGAATTTTTCCATTCATCAATAGGGGAATTGAATCCAAAAGTATGAACATTATGCTTCAGTTATGTGGGGCATCAGCAAGACCATGCCTGGAGTATGGTAGAAAGTAGTTAAGGAAGGATCTAAATGACTTTGAAGCAATTCAGAAGATGTTCACCAGACTAATATCTGAAAATTGGTGTATTGTCTTACAAAGAAGGTCAGATGAGCTAGGCTCATATTCACCGAAGTTTAGAAGAGTACGAGATGACCCGATTGAGGGGTCTTGATAGGGGCAAATGTGGAGAGGATGGTTCCTCCAATAGGAGAATCTGGAAGTAAAGGTCACTGTTTAAAACTAGAAGTCATTTAAACTGGACATTTTCTCTCTCTTCTCAGAGTATTGCGAGTCTGTGGAACCATCCCCTGAGAAGGCTGTTAAAGTAGAGTCTTGGAATATTTTTACGACAGAGGCAGATGGATTTTTGGCGAGCAAGATGGTGAAAGGTTATCGGTGCAGGTGGATATATCAAGTTCAACATATAATCAGATGAGTCAAGACCTTAATAAACAGCAGAGCTGATAGATTTGAGGGGTCAAATAACTCCTGCTCCTTGTTTATACATTGTATGTAATACAAAGTATTCTGTTAAATGAGAAATTTGGGAAAGAGGCAATTAGAAAGGGCTACTAAATTTTACTAAATTGTCATATTATTCTCCATGATACAGATGGAAAGTAACTACACAATACAGACCAGAAGGTCCCTCATTCAATCCCTAGCTGCATAGAAAGCACCTATCAGTTGGTAAAATAACTATATCAACATTATTAGTTAGTACAAAAAGATACTGGAAACCTACTTGGGAATAGAAGCTAATAAAAAAAAAAACACTGCTATTGAATTGGAACTTAAAGAAGGTTTTAAACATTGTAACAGCTCAATCCAAAAAAAAAACTGCCCTTTGCCCAGGGGAAAGTTTCACCTAGCACTTTTCCAGTATATTCTGAGAGGCATCCAGATCGAACTCTCCATGTTACATGTACCCACAGAATGATCGGAGGTGGCATGGCTGCAGATGTTTCCTCCAAGTAACAACAAACAGTATGAATGGCACTGCATTGGACATCCACACTGATCTTGATTAGGATTCTTCAATTATGAAAAGACAAATGAAGGAAAATGAACTTGTTTACAACTAGGACACAAAACAACAAAAGGAGTCTACTATAAGGACAACTGAGAATGAGCAATAAGTTACTTACTGGTGATGCCACGTCCCAAAAATGGATTTTTAATAATAGTTGATGCCATACAAATGCTAACAAAAGGTTAACTCAACTAAATTGGAATCGCTTTAGATTCTTTACATTAAGTGGACTAGCTCATCCAAATTATGGTGGCATAGCATCACATTCATTTTCTAATTTCAATTTGCCATACTATTAACAGCTAATAAAAGCATCTTTAACGTTTTTCAGCTGGTTGTTTATAGACCAGTCTTTATAGGACGACTAATTCAAATACAGGAGAGCCTCTACCAGGCAGGTGGAAATCAAGCATAAATTGTACATTTAAATTTAAAAACAAATTGTATATTCCTTAAGTGGAGCTTTATAAAACAGAAATGAAAGGTGTGAATGTCAGATTATTCATGGAGGAGTAAAGTGTTGCCTTTCTAAAAGCATGGTAATAGGTCAGAAAGATTCGTAAGCTCCTGAAAGAAACTTCAATCGTTTTACAGCTCAAAGTAGTAATAACTTACACAAGTTTAATGCATACACACACAGTTATTAAAAAGTCTGGAAACTCATGAATGGCCAATAATCATTTGTGACTCACGCATGTCAAAACAAGTTTACTGATAAAAGGTCATTCCGTATATTCCTTCCGTTAATAAAATTTACGAGCCTTTCAGCAACAGGATCACTTGTGCTGAACTAACTGTTTACCTTGAAAGTCATGATGAGGTGGGTAAAATGGAATTCAGCTTCCAGATCTAGCTGAAGGGAAACATTTTCCACACCTATGGAAAGTCAAATTTTAAATTAAAAATAAATGCACGGAAAGCTCATAACAACTTAAACATGTTACTACTACAAGTAACTGGCAAAAAACAGGATGCAAATTACATAGAAATTGACATACACAGAAACAGACCTTTCAACATAACTGATCTATACTGGAGTTTATGGCCCACAGAAATCTGCTCCCAAATAAATCCTACTAATAAAAATACAGAAAGCAATAACCTCTACCACACTATTAAAAAAGTCAAAGCATAATTAATAAAGGTACTATGAGAAGTGATAAAATGAAAGAATTTAAGAGAAACAGATTTTGGCATGAGTAATTTTCCAATATCTTTTCTATAAGCACCGATTTGAGGGTTTAATAGAAGCAGAAATTCCTTTGAACATGCCAAGAATGCCCCAACAAACCCTAGAGTTTTAGTTCTGTGCATGTGCGTTCAAGAAGAGGGAATGGATCACGTTCACAATTCAACTGAGAGTTTTTACTCTATCATCGACTCTGCTGTGAGAAAATCCGACATTTCTTGTTGGAACAACAGACAGGGGAAGAAAATGTATATTGAAAATATCACAGTAGTAAAGTATTTATAAACACTTCTATTAAAAAGTCTTGAGACACAAAAAGGCACAAAAATAGTGCAGAAAATATAAATTTCCTAATAACTTCAGACACATTTTTCCTGTTTTTCAGAAAAAGTAGCTAAAGGGGCTGTGCATGTACAGGAATCATTACCTTGACTAATACAACAACGAATGAGGCAAAATAGTACAAGTCGTGAAAGATCCAGCTTCAAAATGGAGTCATGGTAGAGGACACTAACTGCAGTTCAAAAATGACTAAATAATCAGGGGGTTAAAGCGTGGGATGGAAGGGATAAACACAATAAATATCACTGGAGAAAAAATATGCGGAAAGCTAATAAGGCTAAGGCCAATAAGTCTCCGGGACCCGATGGGTTGTATCCTGGCATTTAAAGGAAGCAGCTGCAGAAATAGTCCACGTGCTGGTGGGAATATCCAAGAATCCTCAAACTCTGGAAAGGGACCAGGGTTTGGTAAACTGCCAATATAACACCCTTATCAAACAAAAAAAAAAATTAATCAGCCAGTTAGCTTAACATTTGTCATTGGGAAAATGTTACACCATTATAAAGGATGTTACAGCAGAACAATTAGAAATACAATGTAATCCAGCAGAAGCAGCAAGGCGTCATGAAGGGAAAATCATGGCTGACAAATTTATTAGCGTTATTTGAGGAGGTAACAACCAAAATTGATAAAGGAGAACCAGTAGATACATTTCCATTGCCAAAAGGCATTTGATAAGACACTGCAAGCAAGGCTACTGAATAAGAAGCCATGGTGTTGGAGATAGTATATTAACAGGGAGAGAGGATCGGCTAACTTACAGAAGACAGAGTGTCGGGTAAAGGGATCACTTTCAAACTGTAACTAGTGGAGTCACAGAGGGATCAGTGCTGAGGCCACAAATATTAACAAAACATATTAATGACTCAGATGATGGAAATAAATGTACTATCGTCAAGTTTGCAGTTGACACAAAAATACGTGGAAAGGGAATTGATGGTGTAGTGGATAGCGAAGGAGGTTATCTCAGAGTACAATGGGACATTCATCAGATGGGCCAATGGGCCGAGGAGTGGCAGATGGAGTTTAATTTAGATAAATGCAAGGTGCTGCAATTTGGAAAGGCAAATCAGGGCAGGACTTATACAATTAATGGTAAGGTCTTGGGTAGTGTTGCTGAACAAAGATGGTGAAGGCAGCGTTTGGTATGCTTGCCTTTATTGGTCAGTGGATTGAGTATTGGAGTTGGGAGGACATGTTGCGGCTGCACAGGACATCGGTTGGGCCACTTTTTGAATACTGTGTTCAATTCTGGTCTCTCTGCTATAGGAAGGATGTTGTGAAACTTGAAAGGGTTCAGAAAAAATTTGCAAGGATGTTGCCAGGGTTGGAGGGTTTGAGCAATAGGGAGAGGTTGAATAAGCTGGGGCTATTTTCCCTGCAGTGTCAGAGGCTGAGGGGTGACTTTGTAGAGGTTTATAGAATCATGACGGGCATGGATAGGGTGAATAGGCAAAGTCTTTTCCCTGGATTAGCAGAGTTCAAAACTAGAGGGCATAATTTTAAGGTGAGAGGAGAAAGATTTAAAAAGGCACTAAGGGGCAACTCTTTCACACTGCAGTGGAACATGTATGGAATGAGCTGCCAGAGAAAGTGGTGGAGGCTGGTACAATGACAACATTTAAAAGACATCTGGATGGTATATGAATAGGAAGGGTTGAGAGAGATATGGGTCAGCATGAACAAGTTGGACCGAAGGGTCTATTTCCATTCTGTACAGCTCTATGACTCTAGGGAGGATGACATAAGGAGTTTCCAGAAGGATATAGATGGAGGGAGTGGGCAAAAATTTGGTAGATGGAATATAATGTGGAAAATGTGACATTATGTACTTTATACACAAGATGAATAGAAGAGGTGAATATTATTTAAACGGCAGTAGATTACACAAAGCTTTGGCAATTCTAATGTGCAAGTCACATAAAGGTAGCAAGATTTCAGTGTGTAGTAGGGAAGGCAAATGAGCTGTTGGCCTTTATCTCAGATGGCGGTGAATCTGTGGAAATCTTTACTGCAGAGGGGTTTCAAGGCTTTTTGTTAATTATATTCCAGGCTGAGAGTGACAGCTTTCCAATTGGTAAGGGAATTAAAGATTTATGGGCATAAAGCAGGAAAGACAATTTGAGGATTATTAGATCAGCCATGATGTCATCAATTAACAAAATGGACCTAACGGGATGAACACTAATTCCGATCTGACATTTTTGGCTCAAACCAATCAAAAAGATTTATTCCAGAATGGAAAGGAGAAACTGTGGGGAAGATTTTGCTGGGTAGATGAGCTTAGGTGGCCTAGATGGTCTTCCACATCCACAGCTATCTTCCAATCATAGAATCATAGCATTCCTACTGTGTGGAAACAGGCCATTCGGCCTAACAAGTCCACACCACCCCTCTGAAGAGCATATCCAGACCCATCCTCCTACCCTTTACCTATAACCCTGCATTTCCCACACCTAATGCACCTAACTTACACACTGCTGGACACCATGGGAAATTTAGCATGGCCAATCAACCTAACCTGCACATCTTTGGACTGTGGGAGGAAACCACAGCACCCGGCAGAAACCCACACAGACGTGGGGAGAATGTGCAAACTCCACACAGTCGCTTGAGGGTGGAATTGAACCTAGGTCCCTGGCGCTGCGAGACAACAGAGATAACCACTGAGCCGCTGTACTGCCCAGTCCTTTTGGCAACACCGCAGATAAACCTGATCTGTGGAACTGGTTGGTCCATGAGCAGACAAGCCATAACACCTCACGAAGATTGCATATGTAAAATAACGATGACGCTAGAGGCAACACATATGGTGGCTCACAATATTATGCTACGACATTTTTTTTGAAAACTGAAAACTATTTACTGGCCTGAAAACTAGACACAGCTCATCCAGACTCTCTTGTAAAAATCCATGGTACGGAAACCAACAGTGAAACATCTAAGTTACTCAAATGAGTTCCATGGGTCAACAAGTTACTTCCGGAGAAATCCGACTCTAGCCATTTAGATTTACATTTTAGAATATTCAGGCCATTTTGAAAACACTGAATCAAATTACTTTTCAGTAGCTAATCATTACTGCTCCCTACCATCTACATTAATTTACTGTATAAACAAAAATTAATTACCAAAATTTAAACTATAAGGGCTTCATGTTTTGGTTCAGCAAATTTTTTTTTGAAGGATCAAATCCTTCCGAGTGTCAACATTTACATTGGACTAGAGTCTTGGATTCAGGGTTTGAGTGAAGATTTGTAGCTTGGGTGCTGTTTGTAGATGGTGGTGCGTTCGCCGAGTTATCAAACCTCCCAACTCGGTGAACACATCAACATCTAGAGTCTTGGATGCTAGTTAAAGCTCCCTTCATTACCAAAGAGTTCTCCTGTTATGTCAACATTTTTCAAATTTATGATTTTTTAAATAGACATTTTTCTCTCAATTTTCTTTGTTTTTTTTAACTTCTCCTTACATAATGCAGATATTGTTTTATGAGCATAAGAGCCCTCTATCACTTCAGCCAAGTGGTAGTGCAAGATCTAGGTGGTGTTGAGAACTGGGGACCTCCTTAAACCTCTGTTAACTCAGCATTCCATATGAACTCGTCTGTTAGATATTAGTAACTAGCCTTCTCCAAATATAAACACATCTCCATATGAAAATAGAGGAGAGATCATACAAATCATCAAGGTCTTGACTCGTCTGCCACCCCACTCCATTATCAAATGTAGTGTATTGAAAATAAGGTGGTTCCGGTCTTAGAAGTAATGAAGACTAACCTACAAATAGAAGTGGGCAAGGGGTCAATAGTCATCTGACTCATGATTGGCTGTTCTATGCCATTGATGATGATTAACACAGCATTAATGATGATTAACACAGCATTGATGGCCAGCCCCAAAATGAGGAATATTAACAGGAACAGAAGACAAGGATAAGATGGTCCTGGGAAACAAATCAGGCCACCTCCTTAGGGAGAAGACAAGAAGCTCCCCCACATCAGTCCATGGGAAGAACAAGGACTTTTGGTACGAAGATCATCACAAAAGACCTTAGGGGTGTAGGAGTGCAATGCCTCTACTCCTCCATTCTACAGAAAAGCTCCGGGATTGGTAAAGCATTCTCATCCATCACAGGTTGTATATTTCCTTCCTTTGCCTAATTAATGTACATCTAAACTGCTGTTTCTCAATAAACTATCAGAAAACTGCTATAAAAGCAACTGACGGTATTAGTTAATTGTAACCATGAATCCCCTAAAATCAACAGAGGATCAAATTTTATAGTTGGTTTCTGGTTACTTATCAGAGCTGTTGACTGGATACTCTGGCTGATTTGTACCGCTCCCTCTCCAAATCCAGAAAGTGTAAAATTAATGAAAGCACTCTTGTGCACTTATATAACTCTCCATAGGATAGACAATAACTTCTAAAACAGGTCTGTTTGCTTAGTAACACACCAGGAGCTACTTACTCACAAACTTACTACATTGAAAGTTCTAGGTTAGTGCTAATTATGCTTCAAAAGTATTATACAACTGCAGGTTTTTGTTGGTCTGCATTATCCAATAAAATTCGGACACTAAACACACAGCTTGTTTTATGATGTTTTTTATATTCATATTTTCATATCACTCACCGTTTTCAGATTGCCACCAGGTGTTTAGTCGATTGTGAGCAAATGTTGTGACAACATTCTCAATCCTATGACTTTTTGGATTTTCAGTAAAAGACTCGCGTGAATCACATGAAAAACATTTTTTTTCTTCCTGCGAAAAAGAAACTGAATATTTAGTATGCTTTGTAGTTTCTTCATACCAAATACGATGCAAAATTGGATGAAACCTAATCAACAAAATCCGATACATATAGTAAACATGTTTTGTTCATATTTTATAGTGGAATACACACAGTACCAAATTTATCTTGCCCTTTGTAAAAAAAACTCTCAATGCTCTTAATGTGGACAGATGAATCAATTATGATGCTGGGTCTCACTGATCAAGAGCAAGTTTCACTTATAGTTAATGGTGAAATAGAAGATCAATTAGAGTGACATCGGGGATAACAAGGATTATTTTATGCTCGTTTAACCATTGAATGGAGAAATATACAGTCTGATCTTGTTAGACACGCGACCATGAGGGAGGCAGAGGGGAAGAAACAAAAAGAACGAGCGAGAGAGACATACATGCAGAAAAAGTGAGAGACAAGAAAGAAAAGAGGAAAAATGATAACAGCAGGGAATTCCAAAATAATCAAAATTAGGGACGAGGAGCCAAAAATGAAGCAGCCGTAAAATCTGAAGGTGGTGGTTTCAGAACCAAGGGGATAAACACCCAAAGAACTGCAGATGCTGGAAATCAGAAACAAAAACAGACATTGCTGAGAAAACTCAGCAAGTCTAGCAGCATCTGTGGAGAGAAAACAGAGTTAACATTTTGGGCCCCAATGACCCTAGTTCAGAAGTTTAGTCAAGAACAGGTCAGCAAAAAACACAGGAGTACACACACAACACACACACACCTATATCTAACATGACAGAAAGTATACTAAAATATTCTGCCAAACATCACTCTTTCCTACCTTTCAAAGCATCTTTGTTATGATAGGAGATCTGCAATTGATGTGTAGTAAAAAAGGCTACACTTTGCAGTTTGTACACCAGGCATAAATTGTGTAGAACTATAGAATAACAGTCATTAACACCGCATTATGTCACAATCTCATGCCAGAATAGGAAAATGTCTTAAAATAAACTTCTGGCGATTACTTCATGATAAAGTATTCATAAAGAAGTAGAATCATGTATCATTCTTTCATGATAATGCCGGATGCAAGTAACATGACGCCTTGCTTTCAAACTTATTACTCTTACATCTCATTTGTGAACAAAAAAAAAAATCATCCAACATCTTTTTAAAACAAAATGAAAGCACTTTGAAATCACAAATTACTCTTAGGCATTCGTCCATGCCTTTGATAACTTTGGAATCACTACAATTAAAAATCAAGAACATGGAAGCCAACTTATCCATCTGCAATCCATTACTGAACTCCCAACAAATCACATACCATGCAGTTTACATCTATCCAGGGGGTAAAATTCAATTTTAGTCAGGGCTCATAATAGGCAGCTGATCCACAACTGCCCAATATGCACCCTATCTGGTTTGTGTTCCTAATATTTAATCAAAATTACTGCCTAGAAAGTAATTATCAGGGAAAAAAAGTGTAAAATGCCAAAATACTTTTATGCTGTCGTGCATTTCAAATGCTTACGGTATCTTTATTTTTGCCAAAATATACTTTATTCATAAAACAGGAAATCTTTATGTACTTAGAGTTACTAAAGCAGTTCTGATCAATACAGTTTTTATGTACAAAAGAAGAAAACAAACATTGGTGTTTGACTTTCTTGGTAGATACAACTAATACAAAGGCATTTCTTAATTATGCTAGGATCTAGGAACTATTTACACGTATCTGAGGTGCTGAGAGGTGTCTGATAATTGAATGGATCCCCACTATACTTTGGCAGAGAGACCTTAGACAGTGCTCTTTCCCCTCTACGCATAGGCAGTAGCTGCCTCAAGCTTTAGTGCATCCCTCAGCATGTAGTCCTGGACCTTGGAATGTGCCAGTCTGCAACACTCGATTGGGGTCAACTCTTTCAATGGGAAGACCGGCGAATTTTGGGCAGACTAAAGAGCATTTTCTGCCCAGTTGATGGTTTTCCAGGCACAGTTGATTTTTGTCTCGGTGCACATCCTGGGGAACAAACCTCAGAGCACAGAGTCCCATGTCATGTGACTGCTCGGGACAAACCTCAACAAAAACCACTGCATCACTCTCCAGACTTCCTTTGCAAAGGCTCATTCCAGCAAGAGATGAGCGACAGTCTCAACCCAGTCTTGAAGGCAATGTGCGGTGGCACAGAGAGTCCAGGCATTCATGAAGGATTTTACAGGTAGATTGCCCTTTCCCCACAAAATAAGTGATATCTTGGTGTTTATTGGAAAGTTCTGGTGATGAGGCATTCTGCCAAATGGCTTTGACAGTCTAGTCAGGGAACCCATGACAGGATCCACTCTCTCCTTTTCCCTCAGGGTCTCGAGAACACTACGTGCTAACCACTGCCTGATGGATTTATGGTCAAGAGATAGTAGAAACTGCAGATGCTGGAGAATCCGAGACAACAAGGTGCAGGGCTGGATGAACACAGCAGGCCAAGCAGCACCATAGGAGCAGAAAGGCTGACGTTTCGGGCCTAGACCCTTCATCAGAAACGGTCAAGGTTGTTTTTCTTCACAAATTTCTCCACGAGGGACAGGTGATTCAGGATTGTCCAACTACTTGGAGTGTTCTGCAGCAAACAGGGCCAGGCCCATCCTTTGGAACAACGAGGACAGGTAAAACCTCAGTACATAGCGACACTTGTGTGTTTGTGTAACGAGGGTCTATGCACAGCTTGATGCAGCCACACATGAACGTGGCCATCAGGATGATGGTGGTGTTGGGTACATTCTTCCTCACTCCAGCGCTTTACACATAGTGTCCCTTCAGACATGGTCCATCTTCAACCTCCAAATGAAATAAGAGATGGCTCAGTGACTGCAGCGGCACAGGTTTGGGGAATAGGCCAGATCTGCGCCACATACAACAGAGTATCTCTCACCTGATGATTAGGTTTTTACCTGCAGTGCTCCCATCTGCCCAGTTTCTGACTCACCTTGGGTGATACACTCCTCCCAGGTTTTGGCACATGCCCCAGCCCCTCTGAACCACATACCCAGCACCTTAAGGTAATCTGTCCCGATGGTGAAGGGGATAAAAGATCGGTCGGCCCAGTTCCAGCAAGTTTAAAATTTGAAACAAATTTGCCTGTGCAAGAACACATATAGCACCCAGAGAGAATTCAAATAACTTTCAGCTTATGTTAACTAGAAGTCTACATGTGATGCTTAATGTATTGACAGTCATGGAACACCTGTGAAAAGGATTAAGCACTGTGACCAGGTTACAGCTGTCAGTAAGAATTAAGTGTAATCATTTCTTCAGGGCATCATTATTTACATAGTTTCTTGAACAAAGATAAAAAACAGGCACTATCCAAATTTAACCAGATCCCACTTACAAGCAGACAAATAAAACAGGAGTGCTGATTGCTTCCAAACACAATGATTCCAGATTAAAGCAGCTATCATACTCCAATTGATCAGACTTACTGAAAGTAAAGTTTTACACAGTTGCAAGAGAAGTTTTTAAACTGAGCAGCTTATACATTCCACGTCACTAAAAGCTTGTTACTGCTTTAACTACTTTAACTTGAATTGAAGAGGAGAAACAAATTGTTTAAGCTCAAAAGAAACTGGATCAGTTTAATGCATTCCTACAAGATGTTGAAACTGAAGATTGAATAGCATTATGTAATTAAGCAAACTACTACCAACAAAGGTGCAAATAATGAGAGTTAAGTTTACGTGAACTAGGTTTGCTTAATGCTGAAAAGAATACTGAAATGTTGAGAATATTCAGCAGTATCTGCAGAGACAGGAAAAGAGCTGGAGTTTCAAGTTGATAACATTTCCACGGAAGAGACATGATTCATTAGTATGCAGAGACGTACTGTCTTCTTTGGAGGCCGTGCCCTTAATCCGATGAAAGAACTGCAGACCCACATTTTTGTGGAGCTGTGAAGAAAGCTCATTGAACTAAATGTTAACTGTTTCTCTCTTCATAGATGCTGCCAGATCGACTGAGTTTTTCTAGCTTAGATATCCAGCATCTTACTGAAGATGACTGACTGATGTAGAAAGATATATTCATTTTCACCTTCATGTTGATCAACTCCTTGGATACAGAACAAGCTTGATGGTAGGAGACAGAATGTGGTGGAAGAGAGTTGCTTTTCAGACTAGATGCCTGTGACCAGTAGTGTGCCATAAGGATCGGTGCTGGGTCCACTGTTTTTTGTCATTTAGCTAAATGGTTTGGATGCAAACATTAGAGGTATGGTAAGTAAGTTCGTGGATGATACCAAAATTGATGGTGCACTGGACAGCCACGAAGGTTACCTCAGAGTACAACGGAACCTTGATCAGATGGGCCGGTGGGCCGAGGAGTAGCAGATGCATTTAAATTTAAATAAATGTGAGGTGCTGTATTTTGGAAAGACAAATCAGGGTAGGATTTATACACTTAAAGGCAGGGTCCTGGGGAGTGTTGCTTAACAAAGAGACTCTGGAGTGCAAGTTCTTAGTTCCTTGAAAGTGGAGTTACAGGTAGATAGGATATTGAAGGCAGTGGCATTTGGTATAGTTCCCTTTATTGGTCAGTGTATTGCGTAGGATTTGGGAGGTCATGTTGCAGCTGTACAGGACATTGGTTAGGCTACTATTGGAATACTGTGTTCAATTCTGGTCTCCCTGCTGTAGGAAGATGTTGTGAAACTTGAAAGGGTTCAGAAAAGATTTACAAGGATGTTGCTAGGGTTGGAAGATTTGAGCTACAGGGATAGGCTGAATAAGCTGGGTAAAAACTGAAAGAACTGCGGATGCAGTAAGAGTTCTGAGGAAGGGTCACTGAGTCCAAAACATTAACTCTGATTTTTCTTCAAATGCTGCCAGACTGGCTCAACTTTTCCGGTAACTTCTGGGGCTATTTTCTTGGTGGTGTCAGCGGCTGTGGGGTGACCTTGTAGAGGTTTATAAAATCATGAGGCGCATGGATAGGGTGAATAGGCAAAGTCTTTTCCCCAGGGTAGTGGAGTCCAAATCTGGAGGGTGTAGGTTTAAGGTGAGAGGGGGAAGATTTAAAAGGGACCCAAGGGGCAACTTTTTCCTGCAAAGGATGGTGCGTATAGGGGATAAGCTGCCAGAGGAAGTGGTAGAAGCTGGTACAATTACGTTTAAAAAGGCATCTGGATGGGGGATATGCACAGGAAGGGTTTAGAGGGATATGGGCCAGATGCTGGCAATGGGACTAGATTAATTTAGGATATCTGGTCAGCATGGACGAGTTGGACTGAAGGGTCTGTTTCCATCCTGTACAGTTCAATGACTATTATTTTGCACATTTTAACTAGTTGGGAATGAACTGGAATCAGCCATGTACAGTAAGCACTGGGATGATTGAGCATTTCCTGACCCCTTTCTTCAGCAGCACACCCACTGACTCATTGTTCTCCATACTTTCTCTGGGTTATTGTTTTTGAATAAAGATGACTTTCAGCACAAAGAACAAGACTACTACTGGTTCAGTTACTGCAGTAACCATCGGAGCTAAAGTCCTTTTCAGTTAAAATCATTCACTTATATGGTATCACTTCTGTTTCCTTGCATGCCAAAAGAGCAGTCTGCAGAGACAGAAGGCACTGTTACACCGCTTATTTGTATTGCTTCTGTCTTGGGAGAACAGTCTACATGCTCGGTTCTTCTCCAACCCCCAAAATCCCAACTCAGTGATTTGTCACACTTAGCTCAACCATGTAATAGACAGACCTGCTTGTAATTAAGGGTGTTAGGACACTGTGATTATAAGAACCGATGGCTTTAATTTAGCAGAAGATTTGAAGATCCAATGCTTTTGTGAGGAAATGGTTCAATCGATTTGAGGTAATTAGGTTATATATATCAAAGTACAGCTAGCAAGGAGAATGAAATCCACCACTGACTGCACTTATGTAATGTGAGGACATGTAAAGTTGAGGGAAAAAAAGCACTTGTACTGCAACTGAAACTAAATAGTCACTATATGAAGACTGAGTGCCTTAGAAATGTGTCCATCCTGAGAAGAACTGTCTTCTTCACAGATAATTTGTTATAAAAAGCAAAACTACTTCTACTTCTAGCTTAACTGTACCACTTAAGGATTTATGGTTCAACTCCCTGCACATTGTCTTACTTGGCTTCCCTACTTCTTCAAACTGGAGTGCCATTATATCCTCTTCTACACAAAAACTTTTCTTTCTTTCCACACACACTTTACTGCCAAACAAATACAGTTCTGCCTCAACCTCTCCTTTTGCTGACAATAGTCTGCTCAAATGCTTTCTTGTACTTAAGTTCCACATCACTTCCTTGGTCAATTTTCCCTCCAACCCATAACCTTTACTAAGGTCCTGGTTTTTATTTAGTATGTAAGATCCACTTGCACTATGGATAATTCTATGGGATTGTGCACATTCACCCGAGCAGCGAGATGGACTTTGACTTATTGTTACAGTCAAAAGGTGACACCTGAAATCATCCACCACACCTTCAGTACTGCACAAAAGTAACTGAATAGAAAGAAAGTGTTTCTATGTGAAGATATTGCCATTAAATATCTATGAAAATGAAGTCCCTTGTTGACAAGCATTAATACATGAGAAATGCAGATATAATTATTTTTCAATGGTTGTTTATTGATCTTTAATATTTATGAAACACCTGTGAGCCGCTGCCATAAGCAGTCACAACTACAGCGGCAATATCACTTTAATGCCAGCAAATAACAGATCAACTAGAGACAAATTGTATCAGAGATAGTAGGAACTGCAGATGCTGGAGAATCTGAGATAACACGGTGTAGAGCTGGATGAACACAGCAGGCCAAGCAGCAGCCTTCCTGCTCCTCTGATGC